ATGTAGACCTGTGATCTGGGTAGTTTTTGTGATTTTTTTTTTTTTTCTTCTTATTTCTCCCATACAGAATGTACCAACAGGACCCAACAACAAGCCCAAGCTGCCCATTGTCATTGCCCAGTGTGGAGAAATGTGAAGTATTACACATCAGAAAAGACATATGACATTTGCTTTAAAGAAAACAGACAAGCCATTCTGGATTTTGTACTAACATTTACTATTGTACTAACATGTACTAACATTTGCATATATGACCAAACTTGAAATTCAAGACTGATACATGTATTCGTTGTACATTCTGACGGACAAGGCTTTTATTTTTGTCTTTAGGAATGGCCGGTTGAGGGTTTTCTTACCCTTAAATAAATGTTGACCCATGTTTTTTTTTAAGTCACTGTGGAACGTTCTTTATTACACTTCAAATTCAGAGAGAACTGAAATCAAGAGACGTTTCCTGAATCGTCAAGGGCTTTGAGTTTATGATACTAAATCAACACCTAAAGGACACGCCACTTAATGCAAATTCCTTATGATTGTACTCCCTTTGTCGTCTTATTGCTGCTTACCCTAACCCACATCCTAACCCAGAAACCCCTTCCCCCATCTCTTGGACCGTGTCCCATGCACACAAAAGGGCTCTTTCAGCTGAAGTGCAGGAAGAGTTTGGGCTCGGTAGGAGGCTTCTGGGGTCAATGTTAAAGGCTGTCTTTGTGTGGGACAACAGGGCCGGACCATTAACAATAAAATCACACTTCAACCAGGTCTCCTCGACAGTGCCAAAAACATATTTACATGACAAAAGGGAAGGGGGTAGTGTGGATCTGTCTCACAACTAGCCAGGGTCTGTCTCATCTGTGGTCGTTGAGTGCTTCATTTATAATGCGGTGGGAGAAGTCAGTGATGGGATTTGTCCCAAACACATCATCCTTACATTTGAAGTCATGGATTGTTTCAGGTTATGATTCGCTTACTGATGAATGAAGCTATTCATACCTGCTTCATTTTTGTCCTTGTTGATTTGGTCTGTTAAACATTTTTTATAATGCTTTTAATAGTTCCACTCTCAATTCAATTTTACAAAACATAATTGTTTACACAAAATTTTGCCAAAGAATTATGACAACAAAGAAACAATATAACAAATAACAATATATCAGTATTACAATAGGGTGCTAAGTGATCAATAAAATGTTACATAAATAAAATTACAATAGTTCTAAGTGGAAAAAAAAAAAATACTGGAATGTCTAGAGAAGCAATGTATATGCAAAACCATAAAAATAAAACTAAATAGTACCAAGCCTGTTCTCACAATATTCCATATCTGATTTACCTGCTTTTCGTGTATTTAATATGTAAGCCTACCATTGTACCAATATATATTTCTGTTCACTTTTTTAAAAACTCTTCATAAGGGATTCAGAACTATGAATAATGAAATATGCATTATTTTCATGTCCTGGGTCAATGTTTTCCTTTTGTTTGGGATATATATCTGCCAGTATGTCTGGAAGGTTTAATTGGGTCTTTAATTCTGGGCGGTGCTAATTCTTTATGTAACCAATCATGAGCAGACTTAATGTGCTTTCCGTATGATTGACAATAAGTTGAACCAATGAGCGTCAGTAAAATAATTGCCGCTGACTGATCGCAAGTTGACCGACCAATTGGATTGAGGGATGGGTGGAGAGACGTGACATAATATCATCCGGCAGCGTTACTCGGTCCGTCCAGTTCGATCGGCAGCGGGAGCGGAGAAAGGAAAGCGGAGAGCCTGAAGGCAACAGCCCCCACCACCGCCGGCCCAGGTTACCATCTAGCACCGGGAAAAACACACTAGAGAGCCACCGCCGGCTTTACCAACAAGAAAACAACATGAGCAGCGAGGCCGAAACAAAACAACCGCCGCAGCCTGCCGCCGACGCGGAGAGCCCATCCAGCCCGGCAGCCGCAGCTACCGCGGAGGATAAGAAGGTCATCGGTAAGACTTTCAGCGAAGCCTCAGTCCTCTTGGATTGGGGATTCGTTTATTTAAAATAATACATTTATTTAATACGTCGGCGCTGTAAGGTTTAATACAAATGAACGGTAACGGATTTTTCAGTTAGGGAAAGCGCGTGGCCTCACGGCGACCGTTTGGTGTCGTTATCCGGCCACCAACTTGATATTAACGTTACTGTATTCCCGTGGCTACCTGGTCAGTGTTTTTGTTATGGAGTTGTCTTTACTTCATGCATTTAAGGACGTATGTACGTTAAATTTGAGACGTTAAACCGTCTCAGTCAGTTTAAATGTTCGCTCGCGTGCCGGGTTCCATCAAACCGCCATGACGCGTGCTCGAGACCGAGGCCTGCTTCAGTGAACACGAGTCTCAACGCGCTTCTCACTCCATAGAGCCGCTAGCGTTAGCGTTATTTACTGCCCATACACCCACGATACGACTTCTATATTATATCAACGTATGTTTACTTTTCAGGCCGTCGATGTTTACGGTGAATGAACCAGATCCTTGAGCTTGGCCTTGATCGTGACATGATGACTCGGATCATTATTAACTATTCATGTGAAACACACACACACTCCCCCATTATACGAGTCCAACTGTCGTGTTCGGTGTGAACCGCGTCGGTTTTATACTCAAACGATTAACTTATTTTGAAGGCCGGTTTCTTGATGGAAAGCGAATATAAGCCAGGCTAAACTCTTTCTCCCTTTGTTCGCGTGGGGCGTTTGACGCGTCGCGCATACGTGTCCTTACCTCCATTAACACCATCAACGCCGTCTCCTGAAGATCCCCTCAGCCAAGAGGCGATTTAAAGTACAGATTGCATAACGATCATATAAGATAAGCGTCGTCTACCGCTGTGTCGCGACCCCACATATAAAATGTCCGCCATGGTGTTTGGATGATGGACGCTTCTTTTGTCTTGTCTGCTGCTGCAAGCTCTTAGCGCTTCGAACATTCAGCCAGAAACGCGAATCACTTGCCAGTCGAGGTCTACACAAATGCATCATCTCGTAATGCCTGCTGTGTGGATGTGAGGATGGAGAATCGAGGCTGTTTGGCTACGATCCGGCCACATGGCTGATGCTAGTGTGCTAACTCTATAGCATCACTTCCTACTTCAATTCCACACTGGCCAAATGAATGCGCTTACTAATAAACTACAGTGTAAACGGTGTTTTTAACCAACACCAGCTCATCTTTCACCCCAAGATTTAGTTTTATATTTTATATCCTATTTTAGTAGTTTCATGACAATTAAGAACGTTTCTCGTTTTTTTCCCCTTAAATTTCTTGGCAATTCCTATTCTAGGTGGTGATTATTACTGTAATACAGTAACTTTTTAATTTTAATGAAAATGTGTATATTTGTGTTATATATAACACAAATAATACTTAGTCTCTACTATGTTTTATATTGCATTTTTCTCCTCACTCTAGTACCCCTGTCTTAAAGAATTGGACACCCCAAAATAAAAATCATCATTTACTCACCCTCAGGCTGATACAAACCTGTATGAATTTCTTATGCAAAACACGCAAAAGAAGATATTTTGAAGAATGTTGGTAACCAACATTCTGGTGGCCACTGACTTTATTTATTTATTTTTTTTCATACTATGGAAGGGATGGCTACCAGCAGCTGTATTGTTACCCACATTCTTCAAAATATTCAAGTTTCTTTCTTCTGTTGAACATGAGATAAGTTTGGAACAACTTGAGTAAAAGATGACTGGGTTTAAAAGGACGGTTCACCCAAAAATTTAAATTCTGTGTTATGTCTTGATTACTTTAAACTATTGCCAGAATATTTTTTTTCTTCATTCTGCAATGCATTTAACATTCGGCTACCAGCAGCTGTATTGTTACCCACATTCTTCAAAATATTCAAGTTTCTTTCTTCTGTTGAACATGAGATAAGTTTGGAACAACTTGAGTAAAAGATGACTGGGTTTAAAAGGACGGTTCACCCAAAAATTTAAATTCTGTTATGTCTTGATTACTTTAAACTATTGCCAGAATATTTTTTTTCTTCATTCTGCAATGCATTTAACATTTTGGTCTTCATAAGATGGATCGGGGGTTAATAATGTGAACTCTGTGGGTCAGGGCCTTTCATGGTGATGGAGGCTCTTCTGATAAGAGCAGCTGCCTTTGCATCAGTCTATTAAAAGCACCACAGTTGGAGGTTATAAATAGAAGGCACAAAATGAACTCAACTTGCCAAGGATGGCTTTTAAATGACTTTGCTAATGTGATGCATCTTTTTCTCCCAAACGTTGTAGCTTTACTAAAAAACAGTACTTGTATAAATCGTGTCTGATATTTCAAAACAATCTTGGTGTGGTTTTAAACTGCCCCCCCCCTCTCTTTAAAGCAACAAAAGTCCTGGGGACAGTGAAATGGTTCAATGTAAGGAATGGCTACGGTTTCATCAACAGGTAAATAACATTCTCTAAAGACTCTCTGATATGATATGTGGGTCAGGGAACATCCGCAATCCTATTACAGCCTTTATGTGCTTACAAAGCCAGACCTGGCTTGCACTAGCATGCTACTATTTATTCAAATATTTAACTTGCTCTTCAACTCTGCATGCTTGTTTGTTCTCCATCTGTTCTCAATTATTAACATTTCACTCTCTGAATTTGTGCAGGAATGACACAAAGGAAGATGTCTTTGTGCACCAGGTAGTTATTTGCTTTAACTGTCACCATAATGGCATACCAATGTTTTGGGTGAAAATGTGTTTTCTGATTGCTTGTGCTTTTGTATCCAGACCGCCATTAAGAAGAACAACCCAAGGAAATATCTTCGTAGCGTTGGGGACGGAGAAACTGTGGAGTTTGATGTCGTAGAAGGGGAGAAGGTGAGCTTGAGTTTTTATTGTTTAGAGTTCAACTAGTTTCGCACTCCTGTGGCTTAACTGCACTGTTTTGGTATTTTAAAAAAAAAAAAAGAAAGTGTTTTCATGGCATTAATTAAAGGTTCTCATTACGGATGGAACCATGTAGTAGTAGTTATTATTATTATTATTATTTATTCATTAATGCACTACCAGTCAAAGGTTTGTGCGTCTTTAAAAGTTTTGATCAAAAGTCTTGACTTAAATGAAGATATTCAGACAATTTGTGTGTACAAAATTCAAGCAGAGTCTTGACTGAATTTTTTTGGACCTTAAGTGTCCATCATTCATGTGAACTCCTTATGAAGTTTCTTGAATAAGCGACCTATATTTAAGATACTTTGCATTTGTTTGGTCACTACATAATTCCAATATTTTAATTTATTTCATAGTTTGACTTTTAATCTCAAACAGGCCAAGTATTAGGGCTGTGCGATTTGGGGGAAAATATCAAATTGCGATATTTTTTTTTTTTGACAGATATTGCGATTTGATTTGCGATTTTAAATTTGCAAAGTCAAGCTTCAGCTCAATATTGCCAATAATGTGCAGCACAGTATGGGTATCCCGTGCTGATTGGGGAGAACGGAGGTGCGCTCACTCTATTGGTTTGTAAGACTGCAACTCAAGGCTGGCAGTCATGCATATGCTCTGGAACAGAGTAATATCGCGTCCATATCGCAGGCTTTGCGATTAGGAAATCGCAACATCTCAAATCGCTATTTCGATTAATCGCACAGCCCTACTAAGTATTAATAAAAAATAATGTTAAGTTAAAAAAAAAAATTTAAATGAAGTTTTGACTGATAATGTAGTTAGGTCCATTTATTAGGGGTTGCTTCCTTAAGAGTGTTAAAGGGGTCATATGATGCGATTTCAAGTTTTCCTTTCTCTTTGGAGAAGATCCCTAAAGTTGCAAAAACTAAAATCTCAAACCCAAAGAGAGATTCTTTATAAAAGTTAAGACTGGTCCACGCCCTCCTAAAACACCTCGTTTAAACGCACCCCCACATGTCTACGTCACTGTGTGGGAAGATTTGCATAACACCGCCCAAATATTCACGCAAAGAAAAACGGCATAACTTTTATTCTCGCTGTAGTATTGTTGCTGCCGCCGCCGCCATGTCGTGAAGATGCTGTGTGTTTCATTGTGAAAGTGAAACCACTTTGTTTGGGCTTCCAAAAGAGAACGATATCTGCTTTATCATGCCTAGAGCTGATCCGTGCTGGGCGCTGAGGAAATACATCAACTTCACGCTGTGGATCGCCGGATCGGCTTTCACCGTGGACTAAGTCCAGTCCAGCCCGTGGTCGTCACATGTGGTTGCCGCAAGCCCTTCGGACGCTCCTTCATCGAATCCGCCGGCCGTGCCGTTCTCAAGCCCGCCTGCCGCTGCTCACTCGAGGCCGCCGTGTGTGACGCTGTGTGTTTCGTTGTGAAAGTGAAACTACTTTGTTTGGCCTTCCAAAAGAGGACACAATTAGAAATCAGTGGTTAAGTTGTATTTACAATACTGTTCCAGAACAGTTCAACCCAAATATTCAGATGTGTGCAGCACATTTTATGGAAGACTGTTTCCTGAACCTGCAGAGTAGTCCTACGCATTGTCTGTGCACAAAGGCTGTTTCTATAAAGTGGGGTAGTTCCAGCTTTGCAAGCACAGTCTGGCGCTTCTGACTCAGCCTGTAAGTTTTTATTTTTATTTTTTTGTAACTTTATTTTTTTCAATATTTAAAGGATTTGCCACAGATGATTAAAATGCGAGTTTTGGGTAGTGTAGAGTAGCGCTTGTTGTTTGTCATTTCTCCGATCACAAATGCAGACATTGGGTTTGTTTACGCGGCGCGATAGGCAACGCGTAAAAAGACTGTATAAGTCATTATAATAAGTAATTATGTCCCCACTGGATGCAACAAATACATCGTTTATAATAGGTTTTAATGTTTTTGTCTCGTCGCTCCAGCCAGACAGGGCATCACAGTATGGTAAGGGGCGTAACAATGCCGTCACACGCCAGAGGTATTCGGCCAATCACAATGCACTGGATAGCTGGCCAATCAGAGCACACCTCGCTTTTCAGAACGATGAGCTTTGAAAAATCGACGCGTTTCAGAAAGGCGGGGCATAGAGGAGAAACAATAATGAACATTGTGGAAAAAATTTTTTTTCTTTTTTTTACCTTAAACCACAAACACATTGCATTACACCAAATACACAACAATGTTCTTTTTAGCAACGTCATATGACCCCTTTAAAACCTTAGTGGATCCTAGTGTTGGGCGGTATGCTCAATTGTCATATCGTACTATCGTCTGCCTGTGAGATCGCCGATACATATTATCATGCTAATTTATTCAAATATTTACTTTTTTATAAATATAAATTTTACTTGGTTTCATTGCCAGAAAGTGAACCAACTCCAGCGTAAGGCTAAAAGCAGCCTAATGTTTTTAATGACTGAATTTGTAGTTAACATGATGATTTAATAGAAACAATGTAGTGTACTAATTATAAAGCTTACAATTCCTCAGTTATTCAAACAGCAGCTACAGAAAACGAGCAAAGAACATTTACATTACCAAAAAAATCATCAGTTACTTCAGTCTAGCACAAGTATATGCAGTTTAAAAACACTCCCGTTATAATCCGTGAAGCTGTCTACACTTTGATGAATAAATCCCTTATACTTGCATCTACTCTGTTTATGATGAGATAAATGACTCATCTGAACGCCTGATTGGCCATTGCATTCATAAAGTCAACGAAATCGAGTGTGATTGGTTATAACGCGCAACACTGTAAAAAAACGTGGAAAAAGAAATATGATGGAACAAATAATCCCTAATATTAATTAGTATTACTAGCCTGATGATAATCATAATAATCGTCTTGCTATTGTGAAAGGTGTCAGCCACAGGCGATATCTCTTTCGTCGATACACAATACTATTGTCTATCGGCACAACCCTAGTGGATCCAGGGTAAAAATAGTTAAATTCCTTACATAAACTGTATTAACGAGATATTGATTAAATATCAAATTTCTGCCCAGACTACTGTACCGCAGCCTTTTCAAAATGACTTCCAGGAAATTTCTCCATTCTGCGTCCATTATCCAAACTAAATCTGTGTATTGAATTAGGAGATATTTGATATACATGTTGTCTTCATTCTTTCAGGGTGCCGAGGCAGCCAATGTTACTGGCCCGGGTGGCGTTCCTGTGCAGGGCAGTAAGTATGCGGCTGACAGGAACCGATATAGGCGGTTCCCACGCAGGAGGGCCCCCCCTCGCGACTACCAGGAGAACTATCAGAGCGACGGAGAGGCACGGGAGAAGAGAGAAGAGGAAGAAAGCGTCCCCGAGGGTGAGATGCAGCAACAGCAGCGTAGACCCACCTACCCCGGCAGACGGCGCTACCCGCCATACTTCGTGCAAAGGCGTTACGGCAGACGCCCCCCATACACCAACACACCCCAGAGAGGAGAAATGACAGAGGTAGGCTAAAATCTGAATCCATGAATTGAATATTACATTATATAGTGTTTCGAAATGAAATTAATGTTGTTGGAAGCTTTTTTGCCTGAGACATACTCTTCTTGACTTCTAGGGTGGGGAAGGTGATGAGAACCAAGGTGGTCCAGACCAGGGCAACAAACCAATGAGGCAGAACTACTACAGAGGCTTCCGACCAAGGTTCAGACCAAGGTTTGCATGTTGTATTTGCAGACGTGAGGCTGCAGCAGTAGTGCTGTGTTCGATCCATCGATACGACGATGTATCGTCACAGAGATTTGACGAAATGAAATTAATGTTGTTGGAAGCTTTTTTGCCTGAGACATACTCTTCTTGACTTCTAGGGTGGGGAAGGTGATGAGAACCAAGGTGGTCCAGACCAGGGCAACAAACCAATGAGGCAGAACTACTACAGAGGCTTCCGACCAAGGTTCAGACCAAGGTTTGCATGTTGTATTTGCAGACGTGAGGCTGCAGCAGTAGTGCTGTGTTCGATCCATCGATACGACGATGTATCGTCACAGAGATTTGACGATACGAGTATCGATACAGCTGGCCCAGTATCGTTATTGTGGCACGTGTGCAGCAGTGGACCGCGCTTAATTTGAATACAAGAACACCGTTTAAAATGGAGTAGAAAAGTGAGTTTTCTAAAAAATAATGAATGGAGCATAATATATAGGCTACAAGGTTTAGTCTGGCCGCGGAGGAACACAACTGGGTTGCCTGATATAAAGAGACGTATCCCTGAAACGGAGCTTCCCAATTCTGCTGAGGTAAAATTCAGTGCAGTCCTGTATCGTGATGCGTAACGTGACTTTGCTGGTGATACACAGCCCTATGCAGCAGTAAGATGAGCAAGACTGCAGTTAGAGCCAAATGATATTTCAAATATTCACAATATTTGAAATTGTGTTTAAATTAAAATTAGGCAATATTGTGAATACTACTTAGTTTGGCTATTAATCTCCTAAATGAAGGGTCCCTTAAATCTGGCCCTGGAAGGCCACTGGCCTGCAAAGTTTAGCTCCAACCCTAATCAAATAGACCTAAGGAAGCTAATCAGGGTCTTCAGAGTTACTGGAAAACTTCAGGTAGGTGAGACTGATCGGGGTTTGAGGTAAACTCAAGACCAGATTTGAGGAACCTTGTCCTAAATACTGTCGTTTTACATGCATGTATATCTGAACTCATGAGTATGAGAACAAGAAGTCTGATTTAAATTTCAGTAACACAAATTTAGTTGTTGAATATTTGCTCAGGTCTGCATGGCATTTTGCGTATTAAATTGTTTTGGTAATAACTGCATTTTGTGTAACTGATGCATGCTTTTGTGGCCCAAACTTAACTTATGGTAGACTTCCGCAGAGAATCAATCATTAACAACAGAGTCCCTCTAGAGTAGATTTTTTCTGATAAGAAAAATAAATAACGCAAATTACTTTAGCTAGCAAGTTAAAACACTAGGTGAGTTCAACTTGAAGCAGCGCTGCGCAGACTGATCAGCGTGTGACATCAAAGTACCGTGAGAGCTTTAGAGAGCAGACGGATCCTTATGCGTTCAAATCTCTCGAACGGTACTTTACAGACACACCTTTTGTCTTGCCTTTAGCTTTAACTGCATTTGTAGTCGGTGCCATTACTAGCCACTGGCCAGACCGATAAACAAACATGGACCGGAAGTTAACTTCGGGCCAGGCTCGTGCATCCGATGAAACCGTCTGAGTATGAAGCAGCATGATTTGTTTGTATTACATGGAAAACATGCCTCTATCTATCTATCTATCTATCATAAAAAATATATATATACTTTCTGTATTTTTGTGTGAAAATGTAGCTGTTATTGGCCAGCTCTAGTTGAAATGTAGTTAAGCATGACTGGTCCCTTTGACGGCTAATTCATTGCTTGATGTTCCTCTGAGAACTTGACCCTGATGGATTCTCTAGAGCAGGGGTTTTCAACCTTTTAACATTTGATATTTTCTTTACTGTTTACATTCACTTAAAACAACCGACTGTGCTTACAAGGATACTTGTCAAGACAGCCATTATTCACCTGCTGCTGTATTCACCTGCTGTCTGAGAAGGCTATCCGTTTGTGCACTTCAGGTGTGTGAGCGGTGCGCATCAAAACGCTCTATCACAGTGCGTGAGTATTGAGATGTCTTGGGCTTAAATGGCTTAAAATTACTTTTAATGTTTAAACTGACAAGACTTAAAACACGTGAGAATGAAAAACTTTCTCGAGGTAGCAGTACTGGCCGGATCGTTAAGATGGTTTTGGGGGGCTAAGGTGGGCTGAAACCCACCTAAAAAGGTAAATCATCTTACACTGTCAATAAGCGTGACCAGGGTTGCCAGGTTTTCACAAGAAAACCCGCCTAATTGCTACTCAAAACTAGCCCAAAACTACAAAACGCGGCAAGTGTTAAAGTAGCCAATTGACTTGGCAACACTGAGCGTGACTGATACTCGAGCCAACTCTGCTCTAACTGTTGACTAGCAGTGGGAGTCAGATTGCCCCCTAGTGGATGGCTAAAGATTTGTTAACTTGTATTCATAAATTGTCAAGGGAATGTCTCTGAATTAACTGATGCTCGTGCCCCCCTTGACAGGTGCTGGCGCCCCACAGGTTGAAAACCCCTGCTCTAGAGCATCTTCCTATTTTGAGCAGTTTATTTTATATGAGCCTTTAGATTTGTTGGCTCTTAAGCTTTGTGTGTAAGTGCATTATTTCGTATCTAGCAGGGGTCCCCCACGCCCCCGGCCGGTGCGGGAAGGGGAGGAGGATGATAAGGAGAACCAGGGCGAGGGTGGGGAGAACCAGGAGCCCCGTCAGCGCCGTTACCGCCGCAACTTCAACTACCGCCGCAGACGGCCCCAGACAACCAAGCCTCAGGACGGCAAGGACAGCAAGGCAGCCGACGCATCAGCCGACAAATCAGCCGCTCCCGAAGCCGAACAGGGCGGAGCAGATTAACCGCCACCGGCTTGAACATCTAGACCATCTGGCCGGGTGGGTGCTGCTGTCATGTGAATGAATGTACTTTTTCAAGTATGTTGGGTTTTTGACTGTGGCGTGCTTTCTTAGTGAACCATTCATGAGTCCATCCTTGTAGGTATTTTCTTTGTTTTTTTGGGAACATGTCCAGGTCACATTTCACACCCCAAAATCAAAATGTTATAGAATGTGATTTATTTCTTGATTTAATAAAATAAAACCTATTTGTTGAAGCATTAAGATTTATTTTGCTTTGCCATCGTTTTCATAACAATTAAGCATGTTTCACCTTGAATTCTCATTACTACGTGTAAAATAATTTTTTTATGTATCCAAACATGAATTTTAACAAAGGCAAGCTGAAATAAAAACCAGAAACAGTTCCTCTAGTATGAGTGGTGTTTGCTGTGAACTAACAATTCATGAGGTCTGCAGAAAGTGTTCTAATTCACATTACTTTACACTTGTTTAAAATCATTAGTATCTCTGTAAAGTGTTCTTCGGTGTATCGTGAGCTGCTCAGACGTCGGTCTCCTTACGCAGTCGCTCCATACGCTGTATGTTGTTCTCCATGGCAGTGCGGTTTGTGATCTGAGTGGCACAGCTGGCAGGAAACCAGCCCCTCTCGCCATCTCTCATCCGTTCTCCATGACACCAGCCTACAGCAAAACAGACTCGCACATTGACCAAATTCCTCTGTGGTTACATACATTCAACTCTTATCCAAAGCAACTTGGAAGAAAACCAAGAAAAAGTACATGGGAGAGGGTATGTGAATAGCAGTGAAGTGACACGCCGTTTCTGCTTCCATGTTTACCTTCCACTTCCTGTAAAACGATGACCAGTTCCGCCTGCTGCAGGCTCAGCTCATCTGGTGCTTTTGGCATATAGGCTTTGGTTGCTTCATATTGAGGCAAGTCTTGGATGCCCAAACAAAATGAAGTGTTAGTGATAGAACATGCTAAACGTAAGCATAAAAGTAGTCGCCAAGAATTAATGTGCATAAAAATGATGCAAGGCTATTTTACTGACAAATGACACTGAATGGATCAGACTCACCATCATTAGCGATGCTCTTGCTTTTTTTGACATCGTGGAGTGCGGTGACCCATCGAGCTCTGTCCAGCCTAAAAACATTTCAGAGCAATAATCCATCAAAATCAAAAGAAACTTATCAATTACAACAAGTAAATGACGGCAAAAATATTAGGGAGTAACATTTAATTTGTCCTTTTTTCAGTGCAGCTAATGTTATGTTAAACCAGTTTTTTTCAGTATAATTAACTATTGTAACCGTATAATTCTAAAAACATCCCCTTCAGGCTGATTCACATGTCTTTTTGCTGTGAAGTCTTTATATGTTTAGTAATATTACAAGACTGAACTGAAACAACCTAGGTTTACTTGATTATCCATGCATCATTTTCAAGAAAAGTCCAGTTAAAATGTCTATATGAAAATAAATAAAAGCCAGATTCTTCAAAAAACAAATGCAAACATTTTTAGATTTTTGCGTAAAGGTTCACTAGCTGTTCAATTTCAAGATGATAGATTCTTATGACTTATTTCATATGTCAGGCTTTACAGGGTTAATTATGACATCACGTCACATATATTACAGCTTTCACATCAAAACTATTCTAACAGTTATCGTGCTGCCCTGTTTTCTGAAGAAAATAAAGGGTGAGAATCATTTATGCTGGTGGTGAGCCTGGAATATTCCTTAACATCACTGCTGATGAACGGGGGTTTCATGGGTATCTTACTTGCTTTCCGCCACGAGTATCATCTGCTCACTGCTGGGATTCATCAGCAGCTTCAGATTGAGTTTGGAGTCTGTCAGTTCCTCTTCCACCTCAACCTTGTCCACAGTGGCGTAGTACAACACAACATAACTCTCCTCACTAGATAAACAGTGTTATTCAAAATATTAATATCAGTTATGCAACATATTCATGAACCAAAGCCACAGTCACATGATAGCAAGCGTTCTGTATAGCCAGAATACTCGGATGACATTCGTCAAATCACTGAGTGCTGTATCATTAACCTCAAGTGTTATCAGCCAGAATTTTTGGCTGTGTTTATATGTTAAACAGTAACACTACAATAAGGTCCTGTTAGTTATAATGCATTAACTAGTATTAACAATGAGCTATACATTTGTTACAGGATTTGTTATTCTTATGTGGTTAATAAAAATACATGCATTGTTTACTCATGTTAGCACACAGCCCTTAAATAATTATTACATATACATTTAATCTTAATAATGTATCAGTAAAGCCTGAAATGAGCATTAACTAAGTATTTTTTCATTGTTAATGTCGTTAAGTAATGTTAACAAATGAAATCTTGTTGTAAAGCGTTACCAGTTAAACACTGTATATTAACGTTTCAAATACTGGTAGATAATGTGTTAACTTTATTAGATGGAGGTCTGTTTTTAATAAATACAGTAAAATCCCAATATATAGTTTATAGCCAAATTAATTACATTTATTAGTTGTCTGCAGGATAATGTAGATTCTACACATTTCTCCTCTTTTCTTTAGCTGATAGTATTACACTGTTACCGTTAGCTGAAAGTATTCGCAAATTAGCCTAAATATTAATTATAAGAACATACAAGGGGTGCGAGATGTGTTTGATCTTTTTCTTTGCCCCAATTCGTGAAATGGGTCCATTACTAGTTCAGGAGGAGCGTAGTGAAGTGATATGAAGCTAGCGGGAATTAAAGCTATGGTTTGTCATTCAGTCAGGATCAGGCGTTCATGAGCAGTGCTGTGGACGCTGAATACAGCTGTTGTGTGGTCCGAGACCGTGCAGCATCACAGGTCTGACCTCTTTTTCTTGGTGACGATGAGCACATCATTGAAGAGGAACAGATAGTAGCTCTTAATGCTGATAGCTTTCCTGAAAATGCTGAGATCGTCAGTGTACACCGCCAGCTCACCGCTCTTCTTCAGCCAGCGGGATGACGACACTAATGGGAAAGGCTACAAACATACATAAACAAGTATTTAGATACTAATAGAACAAGTTGAGAAACGATCCTTTCTATCAGAACATGTCCCTGGTCTTTGGTGTTTTTCTTTGCAATCATCTATTAAAATATCTTGCTTCTGAAATGACTTTCCTTTTTTCAGCTGATCTCACTCTTATTCTTCATCTGAACTCTTGACATCTAGCAAACCGCAACCATGAAAGCTTGAAGAGCCTCTGCTTTTCAAAACTTTACACACAAATCCAAGAATTGCACACACAAAATGCAAAATGCCTCACATCTCTTGCAAAACGAAGCACTGCATTCAAAATATGACAAACGCGTCTCAAAAGCAAACATTTGCAAACACCTTTGCCACAGGGGCGGTTCTAGACCACAGTAACTGGGGGCCAGACAGGGGCCACTTGTGCTTTTAGGGGCACAATTTTAAATGTCATCTTAACCTACTTTCAGTATTATTCATTCAGTCATTTTTCACCATGTCATGTATTACTACGATCCCTAGAACTAATCTATAACAATTTCAACTAAAATGAATGTTTCATCATGTTTCATTTATTTGACACATAATTTTGTATTGTAGCATCAGGGGCATCATGCTCTCATTATTTATGAGGGGGCTCGAGTGAAGGGGGGCACTCATGCTTGTCATGTGACACAGCAGCCACAATACCACTGTATAACTGATATAGGCTTATGTTTTATTAATTATTTTATTTTTATTCAAAATATTCCCAACATATATCATGAAATATCTCGATTCTCAAATATGTGACTATATACAGGTGCATCCCAATAAATTAGAATGTCGTGGAAAAGTTCATTTATTTCAGTAATTCAACTCAAATTGTGAAACTTGTGTATTAAATAAATTCAGTGCACACAGACTGAAGTAGTTTAAGTCTTTGGTTCTTTTAATTGTGATGATTTTGGCTCACTTAAGCACTCAAAAACTCCCATAATAATCTCTAAAGCTGTTTACAATGTGACATTAATATCTTACTTACAATTACGTACATCTTCACTTTGTTGTGAGAATTAGTCAGAGAATCAGTCACCAGCGCTCTTTTTTTATAGTTTACAGGACAAACTGCATTTCACCCAAAATTGTTTGGTGTGATATGATTCCAAATTTAGGGGGGCCAAGCCCCCCCTCCCCCCAGAACCGCCCCTGCTTTGCCATAATATTAATTCCTGTTAGATTTTTGTGTGTTACATAAGAGAATTGTGTGTTGTGTTTTGCAAAAAGTGTTTTATGCAATTGAAAACTGAGTCAAAGGCCAATAAAAAAGTCTATGGTTTTGCAGATTTGGTGTGTGGTTCTGCTGTTTGAGTGTCAGCTTTCAGAAACTGTGTGACAAGTAAAGATTTTGTGTGTGAACAGTTGAAAAATAAAACTGCAAAAGGAACACTTTTCTTCTTTTTAGGTGCTAATATGTACCTTTTAGGTACAAAGTTGTACCTTTTTGAAAAGGTACAGCCCCAGTGACAGCTTTTGTACCTTTTATTCTGAGATTGTTGTTACCAATGCAATGCTAATGCCAAATGAAAATGAAACATTTTCAGGATAAATAACCAGCGGTGAAATCTCACAGATGATTATAGTTGTAGCAGAAATCGTGATCACGATAGAAATACGATTCATTGTGCAGCCCTATGAATTTCCATAACTGATTCTGTTATGTTCCTGTGGTTTTGGCAGTCTGTATTATTAAAGTGCTATAGAGATAAAGGTGTCTTGATGTGACTCTAAAAACCTGTTTTTATGATCCAATCAATTACAGATGAGTAAACTAATTTATTCACTATTTAATTTAATAACTAATCCATCCACAGTAAATGTATTATTTTCTTATGGAAAAATACCTAAAAACCAGCCCTCATCTGGGTCAGAAATGTGAATTGCTTGCTTTAAATGTGTCTCTTTTAAAAGTAACCTAACCTGCCTAAACATGTACCTTGATTTTGCCGAACTCCATCTGTTT